AAATTATGGAAATGGAAGCTATATTCAAAATCATAATCAAAGAAATGTTGGTCAAAAATATGGAAATGGATGTTTTGTTCAAAACATTTAACAAAAGAATTTTGTTCAAAGTCATGGAAAAAGAAATTATGTTCAAAATTATGGACAAATAAATCGTGGTCCAAATAAAGTTCAACGAAGGTCTGATCAAAATCGAAATGTTTTTCAACAAAATGATGTTGCTTATCGTAACCAATATCAAAATCTTTTTCAAAATCGTCCAAAAAGGTCTTTTCCAAAACGAGAATTTGAAAAATCGGATGTTAAAGGAAAGCAAAGTGAACCTTTCAAACCTAAAAATCCACATTTTCCAGAAGTGATGTAAGGAACATCAATCACTAGCTTGAGGGAAAAGGAAAACAATATCAGTCAGGAAATTATTCTAAATAGCAAATTCAATCTGCTTATGATATGTACTTGAATGATTCAATGTGTGGAAGTACTTCGTCTCAAGAATCTACTCCTGCAGTATGAAAATGAAAAGAAATTCCAAAGAAGAAATTTGATGGATTTCAGAAAAAGGATGAAAAAGTGGAAGTCAATGTTAAACCTTTCCCATTGAATGATTACATTTCGATGCCTAAAGCCAATGAAATTGACTTAACTGACAATTTTAAGTCGAAAGTTCGTAGTTAGATTATAGGTTCTTCATTGCATAATGTGTTTCAAGCTAATGTCCAAGGATCCAAAAGGTCTTGGGGACCTAAATTCTTATAATTGATTGGAGGTGCTTTGTGATGAGCAATATGATGAAATCTTGTATATTGATAGTGGATGCTCGTGTCACATGACTGGAAGGAAGGATAATTTATGTTAATTTTGAAAGTTGTACAATGCTGGAGTTGTAAAGTTTGGAAACAACAAGAAGTGTAAATTCAAAGGATACGAAAAAGTAACGAATGGGAAATTCAAGGTGAATCGTGTTGCATGTGTTGAAGGCTTAAAGCATAATCTGATTAGTGTTTTGCGACTAGTTGTTGGAACTGGAAATCAGGTTCTCTTTAATGAGGAAGGAAGTATTATTTCCAACAAGAAAACGAAGGAAATTCTACTGAAGTCGAAATGAAAGGGATATATGTTCATTCTCGACTTGAAACCAATTGTGGGTGTACCTTCCATATGTTTGTTTCGAAAGCATCCTCTGATCTCAATTGCTTATGGCATCGGTGTCTTTCTTCTCTTAACTTCAAAAATCTTAACAAACTTGTTTTAAATGATCTTGTTAGAGGTTTACCTGTTTTAAAATTTGATAATGATTCGTTGTGTGCTACATGTGAATAGGGAAAGCAACATCGACAAGGTCATCCAATTGTTATAGATTCAAAAATCATCGAACCTTTGGAACTTCTTCATATTGACTTATGTGGACCTTTGATTATTGAAACACTTAATAAAAAGAAGTACATATTAGTCATTTTCGATGATTTTTCAAGGTTTACTTGGGTTTTCTTTCTTCCACAGAAGTCTGAAATTGCACAAGTGATGATTGACTTTCTCAAGAACAACGAATTGAGTTTAAAGAAGAACGTTCGAAGGATAAAGAGTGATAATGCATCAGAATTCAAGAATCGAGTTTTAGATTCATTCTTAACTGAGTTGGGAATGTCACACAACTTTTCATATCCTTACACACTATAACAAAATGGTGTTGTCGAAAGGACGAATCGGTCTTTATGTGAAGCTGCAAGAACAATGCTTACTTATGCGAACTTGCCTCAATATCTTTGGGCAGAAGTTGTTTCGACTGCTTGTTTGACACAAAATCGTTCTTTCATTCATCGTCATTTTAATATTAGACCTTATAAAATAATAAACAAGTGGAAACCTAATGTTAAATTCTTTCATGTTTTTGGGTGCATATGTTTTATCATGAATCTCAAGGACAATCTTTCTAAATTTCAGTCTAAAGCTAACGAAGGAATCTTCTTGGTATATCCTCATAACTTTGTAGCCTATAGGGTGTTGAACAAACAAATGAGGAAGATCGAAGAAACTTTCAATCTTACATTCGATGTTGTTACATCAAAAGAGTTGAACTGTCTTTTGTTCAAAAGCCTATAATGGCCGAAACAAATGTTGAATCTGAAATCATGAATTCTTATGATATTGATCTTGATTTAATTTTTGGAATTCCTGATAGGGCCATTGATGTTGAAAACCATGTTGATGATAATCATGTTCCCGAAGCATCGAAATATTCTGATGATTCGACTGGCACGTATGAAGAAAATGACACATATTCTTCATCAACTTCAAGGGTGAATGTCGAAAGAGTATCGATTTCGACTGATGATCAAGTAGAGGGGGAGCACTTGAGTTCGACAATACAAAATGAAAACCTTGATTCAACTGTTGAGGGGGAGCATGTGTTGAATCATGCTGATGTTGAGGGGTAACATCACATCTCAAATCCATAGGTCGAGGGGAGCCAAGTGGATCGAATCCTGATAATAACCATGATCAAAATAATGATTTTCATGATGTAACTGACAATATCTTGATTGCAGGAAAAGGTTTAGAAGCGAATGATATTTTCAAAGATGTGCCTTTAGACTCTGATCCTGCATATCCACTGATGGATAAATGGACAATAGATCATCCAAAGGAACATATTCTTGGTGATCCAAATTCTAGTGTCTGGACTCGAGCCCAAATTCGAGAAAGAAATGAAGTGCTGAATGTTCATCAAGAATATTGTATGTTTAATGTGTTCATTTCAAAATTAGAACCAAAAACAGTAAAGGTTGCATTAGAACACTCTGATTGGGTTGTTGCAATGCAATCTAAACTTGCTGAATTCGAACGAAATAAAGTTTGGATGTTAATTCCTAAATCAAAGGATGATTCATTAACTCGTCTAAAATGGATTTTTAAAAATAAAACTGATAAAGAAGGCAATGTTATTTGAAACAAAGTGAGATTAGTCATAAAAGGTTAGTCAATAAAGAAGGCAATTAAGGTTTTGCTCTCAAGGGAGTACTCCCCACGTGCCCCTTAGTACGCCCGACATACTCACAAACCACCCGCGACAAGATAACCTTATACGCTGGGCGTAACCCAGCTTACGCTGGGCGTACCCGGCCAAACACGCGCATGCATCCAAGCATGCATGGGACTGATTTGCCAAACATTTCCATTAGCGGCTAATTCTGCCAATAACTTCAAAATATCATAACTCCCTCATCCTAAATTCGTTTCCAATGAACCTTATATCCACGGAAAGGTGGCGAGAAGCCTTACACTCCTACCAACACACCCAGACCTTAAAAACTCCCAAACGAAACCCAAACTCTCTAATAGATCGAGATATCCAATTATGATTATACCCTTGGCCTCCGAAGACACAACTGAACACTTGGATCACTTATACTATGACACCCACATCCGAATTGGGCCAAATCCTTCCTTTCCCAAGGCCCTAAGCCTTATGACAACTGATGATTGGGCCGCAGCCCCGAGCAACAAAGCAAATCCAAACCGAGTGTTACAAAAATATAAATATATAACAATTAAGAACCTTTTTTGTCCTCTTTTTATCATAAAAATGTCTCTATAAGTATATGAAATGTTCATTAAATATGTATAATTTAAGACACATCATTGATCACGATACTTGACAGTGAATACGTCCTTGAACATTGTACACAAGTGTGTGATTGAGATATGATTAAATTTCATCTAAATCCCAAAGATGAAACACCCAAATTTATTCTAATATAACATTAGAAGTCATATTCAATGCAAAAAAAAAAAAAAAAAAAAAAAAAAAAAAAAAAAAAACCCTCATATTTAGTGATTAGGACGCATTTTAGAAATAATCTAAGTTATGTGTTTGGGCTTGTAGGTAATGTAAAGTTGAAGTTTATCTTCTTCGATTTCCTTTGGAAAAACATAAATATAGGTCCACGATTTAAAGGAATTAACTAGAATATTGTGAAGTGTGGTCGCAATAAAAGTTTGGACTTAGCTTTCATATAGCCATGAATAAATAAGGACACATAACTTGTTTATAGAGTCAAGTTTCTATACTAGTGTTCAAAGTTTGTATGTATATTATTTTTCTTGTATTCTTATGGGTTGATAGGTTCACTTTTGGGACACCCTCGAATATTTAGAGTGTGTATTATACTCAAACCAAAATTTAATTACTACGATATTTTCACTTATGCACAACTTTGTTTTGTTTGTTTAGTGGTTTGTTTAACGTTATGTGATTCAGATAATAAATTAAAATGAAAATGTGTTGTTCAATTTACACAAGTGTTGAATACATAGAGTGAAATATAGCTTAAGAACAACGAATGTACACGACACAAAACATATATATCCAGAAAATTGATTATGAGACACCTTTATTAACCCTGGATTCCTTTTAGAACAGCTTGGTAGTAGTGTGAGTTTATGTATGCTAACATTGAGTATGATCATGACTATGTACACATCTTTTTCAATCTAGTAAACTTTCACCGTTTCAGAAATTATGAATGCATATTATATTTATTGAGAAAGCAACAAACTAGAAAAATGAAAAAAAAAATAGAAAGACGGGAGAACGTGGGGTTAGCGAGGCTGCAAGGGAGACAAAGGAAAGAGAAAGGTAGGTCCCACCCACCGCCCCCCATGCGCACGCTGTCTTCTTCTTCTTAACAAAACTCTCTCTCTAAGACCTAACCCTAAAACCATAAGCATTGGAATACAATTCCCTCTTTATGATCTCTCTATAGCTGGGTCAATTCGTGTTTTACAAGGTAGAAGTATGGAGAATTCTGCTAAAAATTTGGTTGGTTCTTACAAATCATCCATCCAACTGTTTTCCGATGAAAGTTAGCAGCATTAGAGCGACGAAAACCAACTCAAAAACGATCAACAGACACAGCAAAAAGAGTATCTGAAATTGGGGAAAATTTAGAGCGAATTGAAATTGACAGCTTTCCTTATAAAGGGAAGAATCAAAGATAGAAATGAATCCAGTAACAGCTCATGGTCGTCCTCTACCTCCTCCTTTTCATACAAGAGATCTTCAGCTGCACCACCACCATCAATTTCAACAGCAGCAGCACCACCAGCAGCCACCGGAGGAGGACGAGCAAAGTGGTGGAAGTAGCAGCCGCAACCACGGCCAGAAGCGCGAGCGTGATGGTAATCATAGTCATAATAATGATGGTAATAGAGAATTAGCATCGGTGGTGACCGGAGGAGAAGGAGATCATAGTAGTGGTGGTGGTAGTGGCGGTTCAAGGCGGCCACGGGGACGTCCGTCGGGATCGAAGAACAAGCCCAAGCCTCCGATCATAATTACACGTGACAGTCCAAACGCGCTCCGATCTCATGTGATGGAGGTGGCAAATGGGTGTGATATCCAAGAAAGCATAGCAAATTTTGCAACCAGAAGACAAAGAGGGGTTTGCATTTTGAGTGGTAGCGGTACTGTTACAAACGTAACCCTAAAGCAGCCGGCAACAGCTGGGGAGGTTGTTACACTACATGGGCGATTCGAGATCTTATCGCTTTCAGGTTCATTTTTACCTCCTCCAGCTCCGCCTGCGGCTTCAGGCTTAACAATCTACTTGGCCGGTGGTCAAGGGCAGGTGGTCGGAGGAGGTGTCATGGGTCCCCTAGTGACTTCAGGACCCGTGGTAATTATGGCAGCATCTTTTGGAAATGCTGCTTACGAGAGGCTTCCTCTCGAGGAAGAAGAGTCTACACCCGTATCCGGTAACGAACAATTGGGATCGCCTCCTGGAATTAGTGGCCAACAACAACTCATGAATGAGGCGAACTCATCGTTATTTCATGGATTGCCTCCTAATCTGTTAAACTCATGTCAAATACCAACAGACGCTTATTGGGGAGCAAATCGGCCCCCTTTTTAGTAAGAATGAAGAGGAATCACACTATCCTGTTACATTCATCTTCGACCTCTCACTGGTCACTTTAACTTTATGCAATTCTCTTCCGTTTTTTGTTTTGCTTACATAAATTTCACATAAATTAGTATGTTTGTGATGTTAATTGATTGAAATGATTAGATCTCCATAGCATGTCTGGTCAAGACTTAAGATTGTACAAAACTTGTGAAATCAATATCTTTTTTTCTCTCTGAACTTCGAAATTGTTTCTGTTTTTCTGTTCTTTTCTTTTAAAAACCTAGACCACCACATTAACCGATGGCAAATATCGTTGTCATTATTTCATTATATTTTGGCATTTCTTGTAACTTAGTAAGAAACAATCACAACAATTATTCATATTCAAGGTTTTTATGTTATATTAATATTCCTTTATGTGTTGAATAATCAATTCTGGATCAATGGAAAGTAACTATACAAGACAGTGTACTCATAGATGTTTTCTTATTTGTATATTCAAAGGTTTCCTTTTAAGCTGTTTGACAACAATGTTCAAACCCTTAAAAAGATCTTCCAGTTCAAAAATCCTATTATTCAAATCTCTCTCTCTCTCTATATATATATATATATATATATATATATATATATATATATATATATATATATATATATATATAGAGGTTATAATGTGATGGACATCTCTTGTGCAGCTATGTGTGGACAGTGCAGGCCCGTCCCAGAGGGTGGGCGATAGGGGCGACCGTCCAGTGCCCATCTTTTAAAGGGGCCTAAATGTTTTTATGGAAATTGTTATATTTAGAAGATAATACAAGTAATTTTCTTTTACATATTGATTATTATATAAAAAAAATTGATTACATTTGTGTATTTTAAGGGTCAATTTTTTTCGTCCGGAGCCCAAAATATGTTTGGAACAGCCTTGGGACAGTGTTATTCTTTAATAATGACTAAGCGAATAAGTTGTTTGATAATATGAATACATTCAACGTCACACGATTATCGTCATTATAATGCATTCTTAATAATTTTTATTTATTATTGTTTTCACACATCGCTTTTTCACTCAGTTTTATTCCTTCAAAATACGATTATCAATAAACATTGTAAAAGATTGAGAATCATAATATATATATATATATATATATATATATATATATATATATATAAAATACTCTCATAGACGAATTAATTACCAAACGAGATATTTTCTTAGTCTTTTTCACAAAATAGTAATTTCCATGTGTCCATATAATATATATATATATATATATATATATATATATATATTATATATTGTTTTCCATTTATTTAGACAAGACATTAGTATATATTTAAGTAAATGAAAAAGTAAAACAACCTCAAGTACAAAACTTTTTGTACATCTTTTCATGAGAGCCGGATTGAAATAAAAGAGTCCTGTTGGGGTTGTTGCAGAATACGGTAAAGTTGTTATCTTTAAGATACGGGTGTTGAACAAAACACACAGGTATGGACTTAACTGCGTGTTTAAGGCTCTGAGTGTATGTCTTTCTCTCTCTAAATCTGTGTGTATAGATCTATGTGGGTGTTGTTTGACTGTCTTTATTTAGGTTTTGAACAGAGAGTGATGATGGATTGATGGGTGTCATTGGATTTACACGTGCAAATGCAATATAGCTCTTATCTTGGCTCTTTTCCAAGGCAAGCAACAGCGAATAACCCAACCCCCCATTTTTAGCTTAACAGTTACATATCTCTCTCTCTCTCTCTCTCTCTCTCTCTCTCTCTCTCTCTCTCTCTCTCCTGCAGATGACTGACAGTAATTTGTTTGTCTTGAGTGAGGAATGGAGATGCTTTGTTGAACCCTAGATATGCTTCTGCTTCTACAATAACTAATTAACGACATTTAACATATTTTAATTTACAAAACTATTTGTAAAAGTCAAAATTAAGAGTTTTAACGAGTTGAGAAGTTGGAAATTTCGGCTTTGACCGATAAGCTATTTTTTTTACTCAAGCTTGGCCAACTCGTTTAACATCCCATCATTCGTTGCTTCAGTGTTTAGCTTTTTCAAGACTCAGTTTTTTAGTTTGTAAAACGCAAACTCGAACAAGAATAAACTCTTTTTAAAAATTGAAGCAACATATTAGTCTTGTTATGTTTCTAAATATGCACTCTTTTATATGCTCGTTTGGCTTAAAAACATACATAGGCGCTTGAACTATTTAAGCTAAAGATCAAAATTCACTACAAAAAATAGAGATAGTACACGCAACAAGTCGCCGCGCTAATAATCCGTCACTAAAACCCTTTTGTCATCGGTATTGATGTCTCCGGTAATACATGTCACCGGTAATTGTGTTGCCGGTATTAACGATCACCGGCACAATATACGTCGTCGGAACTGTACCTCGCCGGAGCTAGGTTCCGTCGGTAATACACATGGTTACCGGTAATGCCCTTATTTATTTATTAATTTTAAATAATTATGCTAAAATGCGATAATAAAATTACATAAATTGCACTAATAAAATTGCATAAAATACATACGTTTATAGTCGACATTGTCAAGAAAAAGCACATTGTTAAAATAAAGTAACTAATAAAAATCAATTGCATACTTAATAAAATCTGACGATAAATTATTTAGTCATTAACATACATTCAGCATACTAAACATATATAAACCAATTAATCATCAACGTCGTCTTCGGGGTTATCCTTGTCCTCATCATCACCCCTAGTATCATCGCCATCTGCGTTACCTCCGCCACAACCTTTTATCGACATCGATTGAAACCATTTAAAAAGTTTCTTGCTATATGTTGGGTTTTTTATAATAGCATCAACGAGATCATCTACCTACAAAATAAACATGAACATTAATAATAACATCTTAATTGTCAACATAACAAAATACCAATAAATATAAACAAAATTTGATACCAAACTTCCAATTACCAAAGATATCAAAATACGAACTAACGGAAACCAAACTATATACCACACTTCTAATTAATCATCAAAACTAACAATGTACCAAGTTATCAATTTACCAAACAACATATCAAACTTTCAATTACCAAAGATACCAAACTAAAATAAACTAAAATACCAAACTAAAAGCATAAACCAAACTTCTAATTACAAAAAAAAAATATACCAAATACTCAACGAGTATCAAAATTACAAAACTAAAATGCATTTATCAATCTTTATATGATAGTTTGAAGTTAAAAATAAATTGGTTTATGTTACGTTTACCTCCATTAGTTGTGGTTGTGAGGGCTCTCCCTCACAATAGTTTGAGGTTCTATTGGAAGGTTTACGCCCAATACCTTTGATATGTCCTGGTTAAGTACCTGACATCTTGTCAAATGACACTATCTCAACCGTCGCTGTTAAGTTAGTTCCTTCAGGTAAACCTTGTGTTTGCATTTCTAACTATACGTTACGTCATTTTTTATGTTCCAAAGATAATATATATATATATATATATATATATATATATATATATATATATATAATTTTACGTGAATTGGAAGGCCTCGACGTGGTGGAAGCGCCACTACGACCTGGCAAGACCCAGACCGAACGCGATTTTATTTAAGTCTCCTACGACGTGGCGCTATGTTGGCCATGAAGTGGGGACTGTTTTGGGCCAAAATCCTAATTTACGGGGTTAGTGCCCTATTTAAGGGCACTAACTCCTAGGGTTGCCTCATTTTGTATCCTCCACCCTCATAGAAACCACCTCATCCAAACCCTAGCAGCATTGTAGAAGATCTTGAGCTTGTATGGTCATTTTTTATGTTTTGAAGGAGAAGGAATCATTATGGAAGCATTGGTGTAGCTTGCAAGTCTCATCATCATCTCCTTGGTTACTTTTTGGACCATTGTAAATATCCAAGACTCAAGCTCTATGTTGTAAACATGTCAGATCTAGGTTTTTGCCCATTTTTCTCTATATTGGGTTTGGTAAATTGCTTGGAATTCATAAAGTTAGCAACTTTATGGATTGTTGGGGTCCCTTATTGGATATATTTTCCAGATATGAAGTTTGTTGATATTGTGGGCTACTAATGCATATGATCTTTGGTGTTATTTCTTTATTTTAAGTTGAGTTTAAGTGTTAAACTTGCATTGGAGATGCAACACTGAAAAGCACCGATCATTATGATGTATTAGGCCTTAGGAAGGGTTCTGGAAAGTTTGGAGGAATGGCTTAATAGATTTATCTCTTAATCTGTTAAGCTACTGGAACCCATTTTCCACGATGTAGCGTTTAGGTGACCACGACGTGGCGACTGCGGAGGGTACCCGGCTATTTTGTCTCTTAGTTCCCACAACGTGGCCTATGGGTGGCCACGACGTGGAGACCTGTCAAAGTTGACTTTTACTGTTAAATTCCATCGTTGTCTTTTGACCATATATAACTTTTGGTTAATTTCGAGGTTTTACGGTGTAGACTGAGTGGGTACTTATTTATTGTTGTTAGGTGTTTTGTAGTACAAGTCTTCACCGTGTGAGAGCTATTGTGTTTTATCTGCTACATGGAAGGTGAGTCTTCTCACTATACTATAGGACACTAGGTGTCGATTGTGCATATTGTCTTTGTGACGATTTGTCACACCCCCAAACCAGAACGGCGGAAACGTTCGGGGGCGGATGACGTCATGCTCAGTATCATAACCATAGTGAAGAAAGTAAAATACAACCCATAGATATAATTTAAAAAGATTACATTGTTTCCAAAATACATGTTCCAAAAATACATGTTCCCAATTTAAATTACATGTGATGATAAAATATAGCAAAAGAATCTACGCCTTAGCGTCTTGACTTCAGGAATCTTGCGTTTACCTGCATTACTGATTACCTGAGAATACAAGTGGTTTTGAAAAGAGAGTATCAGCACAAAGCTGGTGAGTTCATAAGTATTTTATAAAAATGAATGTTGTTCCTTAACGTTTGTTACGAGTTGTTTCCAGAAAATCCAATATTTTCTAAAAGATTCGTTGTA